GGCGACAGGGCCGGTGGGAAAAAAAGCCGGCGCCCCCGGCCGTTGGAGTGGGGCAAGCGCGAGGGGGCAGCCTCACCGCCTGCAGGGAGCCCCTCATCCTTCCGGGGCTGAGGCACCAGTTAGGGTGGCAGAGGGGGTGGCTGTAGCCACCCTTCCCCCCAGAAGCAGGGGTGGGAAGAGGCCAGGCAGGGCAGGGCTTGCAGGAAGGGAGGGAGTAAAGCAGGGCCTGGAGGGGGAGCAGGTTGGAGTGGGGCAAGCGCGAGGGGGCAGCCTCACCGCCTGCAGGGAGCCCCTCATCCTTCCGGGGCTGAGGCACCAGTTAGGGTGGCAGAGGGGGTGGCTGTAGCCACCCTTCCCCCCAGAAGCAGGGGTGGGAAGAGGCCAGGCAGGGCAGGGCTTGCAGGAAGGGAGGGAGTAAAGCAGGGCCTGGAGGGGGAGCAGGGGTGGTGCGAGGCCCTGAACCCTCCTTGCTAGAGAAACAGCCTGCAACTGAGAAGCAGGAGCTGGCACCGCCTCCTACCCCACCCCACTCCACCGCACCCCCAGTGCAGGGCAGGGTTGGGGATCGGGGCTATAAGAAAAGGGGCTGGGAGCTGAGAGCCCATCACTTGGGATCGTGCGTGTGCATCTGTCAGCGAGTCCCCGCACCTCCTGCTCCTGCCCCATGGAAACCCTGGTGAGTCCCCCCCACCTCCTTCTGCCCCGTGGATCCCAAGGGCTTGCCCTCTGCCCCCATCTCACACACACTGTGGCTGTGTCTACACTGCAAAGTTTTTTGTTTTTTTCAGAAGAAGTTACGCAAACTACAACCCACGCTTTGTGTACCTTCCTCTGATTCTTTTGTTGCTCGATGCTTTTCTGACATTTAGCCCATCTACCCAGGCCAAATGTGTGAAAACCTCCTCTTTTGTAGAAGCCCTTCCTCCTCAGAAAACGAGGAATACAGGGATGCCGAAAGAACACACCGACATTTCTGGAAACAAAAAAGCGGACGCGTTCCCTGGATACAGCTGAGTTTTCCCAGGATACTTCTGGTAACCCGGAAAAACTCTGTAGGGTAGACATAGCCTGAGTGGGGTTCAACCCCTCCCGCTGGGGCAGTCGTGTCTCACACACACCCCTGCCTGAGACCAATCACGTACATAACTGATTGCTGCTATCCAGCCTGGTACCTGGATACAGTTACTAGGCTCAGAGCCTGCCCCCGCCCCTCACTGTATCTGTCTCCCCCCCGCCCCCGCATGGCTGAAGGGCCCAAGTCCCAGAAGCAGTGTGTCCTCGCAGGGTGGGATGCTGCTGTCACTGCTGATGCTCCATCTCTCCCCAGGTGCCTGGCCGGCTGCCCCGCAGCACCCTCTGGATGGTCACCCTGCTGCTCTGCCTGGGGACAGGGACGCTCGGGGACCTCAATCTAAAAGCCCTCGACACCATCATGAAGCACATCACAGCGTGAGTGACTTCTGTCTGCTCCAGAGGCGGGGGCTGCAGCAGGAGGGGGGTTTATAGAGCTAATCCTGCCTCACGGGAGACACCCTCCTCCCAAGCCCACATTGTGTCCATGCAGAGCAATACAAGGTGCACTGGGATGGGAAGCAGGAGCTCCGCTCCCATCTCTGCCGTCTGGCAGCCATCACAGCTCTTCATACAGAGCAGGGCTCTGTTGCACCACCCTGGCTGCAGTCGGCTGGGAGTCCCCAGTCCTCTGTGACTCAGCTGTACCCGGCCACGTCAGGCGGGGGGGTGAGCACCCAGCTCTCAGACGCAGCCGTTCCCAGGGAAGGTGCCACGTGTCTGTGCCGTTTGACTCTCAACCCCCCTCCCAATCCCCTCTCCAAGCCAGGGGGAGCATGGACGATCCCCGATCCCCAGTGTTTATCTCTGCCACCTGGCACTGTGCATCCCGGGGGCCGGCTGTGTGCCTCAGGCCTGTGTAAATGCTCTGGATGGTCCCTGGGGCTCATGGGCAGGGCCGGCCCTGGGCACCCACAGAATACGCAGCCGCGCCAGTCCCCTGAATGTCCTGGGGCCCAAGGCAGCCATGTCCTAAGTATGAAGCGACGGCGACTCCAGCTGAAGGGAAAACTGCCACATGTCTCTGGCTGTGCCCCTCCACTGCCGCCCCCTGCCCTCTCTCTCCCCCGCAGGTCATGCTGCTCCCTGCCTGGCCCCTCCTGCCTCCTCCCCTGCCCTGCACCTGTCCCAACCCCCGCCCCACAACCCCTCTGCACAGCCCCCTTTCAGCTTCCCCCGCACTGGGGAGGGTGCAGGCGCTCACAAGACACCGCACTTGGTGAGCAGGGCCCTGCTCCAGAGGGAACACGCAGCCCGGTGGCGCAGACGGACCAAAGCTCACCCCAGGCTGCTGATTTCCAGGAGGTGCCTGGGGCAGTGTCTGATCTTCTGAAAACCACCCTCCCGTGTATCCATTGGCCCAAGGCCCAACCAGCCCCTGCCCCAGCCTGTCGCCCTGAGAGCCTTGTACTGACCAGCAAGGGCACCGCATGCCCCTACCCCCAGAGTCCTGCACTTGCAGCCATTGGCTGCTCCAGGCCCTCATAGACTCGTAGACTTTACGGTCAGAAGGAACCACTATGATCATCTAGTCTGACCCCCTGCACAGTGCAGGCCACAGACGCTCACCCACCCACCCCTGGAAGAATCCTCTCACCTATATCTCAGATAGGGTATGTCTACACTACCCTCCTAGTTCGAACTAGGAGGGTAATGTAGGCATACCGCACTTGCAAATGAAGCCCGGGATTTGAATTTCCCGGGCTTCATTTGCATAAGCCGGGCGCCGCCATTTTTAAATCCC